AATTTGAGTAAAGAACTCTATTCCAGAATTTCATTCAAAAACTCTTAATCTTTAATCTCTCCTAATTCCACTATCCTTTGTTTTTAAGATGATTTAAGCTTTCCTTAAGCTTAATTATCATCCAATAATCATAACCAAACCTTTAGTTGAACAAATAATCAACTAATGAAGAAACTTACCTTTGCTTATGGCTTCACGGTGGAAAAGAAGAGAATAAAGAAGAGAAGTCTGGAACTCTCTCATATTTCCCACGTTTATATACTCAAAAGGAAAAAAAAAATCTTTCCCATGAAAAGACCATTTTGCCCCTTTATTTCATCCATCTTTGCTATTTAATCCAATATTAAAATTCTTTACTTAAATCCCAAGACTTTTAAATTTCATTTCTAAATTGAACACAAAACTTTCAAAATTTGCAATTTAGTCACTGACCCTGATTTGGGATGTTACAAATCTTCCCTCCTTTAAAGAAAATTCATCCTCGAATTTTCACTACATGCCTTTATAATATCACGTCTTCTAATATTTTCATGTTGCTTCCCTTAATATTTCCTGCCACCACTACAACCTACCATTTTCCCATACTCAATTCTTCATATACGTCCACATCTTTATAAGTCCATATAATATTATTCATTATATAGATAGCAACCCCAAATCCTTAATCTTCACTATTATGGATCAATTGATCTTTTCCATCATTCTCTATGTGCTTTGTACATAAATCAAGCTTTTGATCATTTCTTAATTCTTGTAAGTATTATTATACACACAATCTTTTCATATAACCCTTACGTATTTGTTCAAAGAATAATCACCCATTCTCGTTCTTCTAATAATTGAAAATTGTATTATTTCAATATCAACTTATAACTTATATCTCAATATACCTCTTGTCTTACTTGATCGTTTAACCTCCATCTTTGTCTTTTCCTATCCCTTTATTCTTTCATTCCTTCCAACATCACAATCTCCTTATAACTTAGATTACATCTTTTCTTCAAGCTCTCATACTCTTTTCATATCGTTTATACTTATCTCTGATTACTGATCTTCATCGCATCTTCATAAATTTGATAATCTGCTTTACTTATACAGAATCTCATTCTTTACCATCTCTTGTACTTGTATTTTATTCCTCAAAGCTCCTTTTTAAACATACCAATACTTATTTCCTTGCCTACATCATATTTATGTGATCAAAACCATATCCAAATCCACATCATACTTGATTAACTTAACTTTATATTTTCTTCAAATCTTAGAACTTTATTATCCATACTATTACAATTAATCAGTCACAATTTTTCCAATTTAGGGCATAAGCCCTAATCAGACTAATCATATTCATCTTCTCAGTTGAAATCCAATCAGTGCAATTTACTCACTTATCCAATCCACACTCTTATTCGTATACAATATTATTCTCTTGTTTCCTCTATTACCTTACATTTCGGTGATCAAAATACATAATCGTGTCTCAATTCACACCCTACTTAATTAATTTACCCTGACATCATCTTCTAATCATTTACCTTTGATACACTTACCATCACATAATTCTGTTAGTCACCACCAATTATTCCAATCTAAAACATAAACCTTCATTGAACCATTCATATACATTCATTCCAATCAGAATTATCTCAGCAATAGTTTACTTAACTTATCAAATCCACATTTATTATGATCCAAATATACAACTGTATCCAGATTCACCTCATCTTTTGTTTTTCTGTTCTGACAATATCTCAAATCTTATAATTCACATACATTTTCCATCACATAATCTGGTTAGTCAAAGCTAACTCTTTTCATCTAGAATGCAAACCCTTATTATAGCCCACTCTTGCTTATACACAATTATCCCTTTGCCTTAAATTCATAAACTTTATCTCCATATATCTTATACACTTGTCACTGATGCATCTATTCTTGAATTCTTATACAAATATTCACCACATTCTTTGATCTTTTTAACAATCTTATAGTGACACTTGTTCACCATATTCTATCTTATCCACATAATAACAAAACTACTCAATATCGTGTTTCCGATTCAAAACAATGAAAACTTTCTATCATTATTCAGATATGATTTCAGCTTTCTAAAATCAACTTTTGATCTTACTAGCATTTCCTGAGGTGTCCGCTCTTCATCCTGCCTGGTCAAGCAGGTGAATAGCTATCACAGTCAGGAATATCACCTTTCACTTACTTCAAAATTATCACGATCGGATTTCTACTGTATTAAACTATTCTTATTCTATTAGCAAGACAACATACTTCTTACACTATCAGATCAGAAGTTTTTCACTCTATGTTGGCATGTACACATTTTATGATACTTTGGACTTCGGTTTATGCCGAGAATCAGCTAAACCTTAGCTCTGATATCATTAAATGTAACACCCCAACCCGTACCCGACCCGGATACGAGTCTGAGGTGTTACATTGACTTTTCAAACTTTGACTCTTGACAAAATTCAAAGAAAATTTAAAACTTTCCTTAGAGTAAAAGCAATTTAGTTACATAATTTTACCACAATAACCAAAATCGATTAGAGCATATTTAACTCAATCAATTAGTACATGCCAACTATATTCAAAATAACAAAAATCATTTACTCATCTATTTTCTGATCTGAAATCTTGTAAGGGAGATGCTGACCTGTATTGCTCCTCACAGCTTCCATATTCACTTTCTGTAACCTGCGTGTGAAACACTCACACGCTAAGTCGATGACTTAGTGAGGCATAAAGAAAAACACATCTAATGGAATTCATACCCACTAATCATGAATGATTGTTTTATGCTATCAAATTATACAACTCATTTACATATTCATCAACATATATTCATGTATATTATGTAACAGATACCATAACCCCTATCACACATATATCATATCATGCACACATTATATACATATATCACATAGCATCTCATATCACCATTACATATATGCACTTCTACCATGTCACGAGAAATACACATATCATTATATCAAACTATGTTCTCTTTTCAAAGCCCATGTACATATGTGAGAACTATAGATATGTGAGTCTATAGAGGTTGTGCACTATGCAGCCACCACAGCTCGTATAATTGCACCGAAGTGCCACGTAGAATTGTACCGGAGTGCAGCGTAGAATTGCACCGTAGTGCCATATAATAATGTCCATAAGGACCACATATCATTCCTTAAGAATCATATACATATACTAGGGATCAAGTATGTGTCTCACCAGACTTCATACATGTTCCAAAGAATACATATATGTCCCGAAGGACCACATATCATTCCTTAAGAATCATATACATATGCCAAAGATCAAGTTTGTGTCTCACCAGACTTCACACATGTTCCAAAGAATACATATATGTCCGAAGGACCACATAAACCCTCGACTCTTGGCATGCCAACTATACCCCTAGCTCTCAAGACACATAACATGGGCATTTTTTTATACTTATCATTTCACATAACACATAGTTCAATTACTCATAGAACATTTTCATATGAGTCACATTTACATATCACATAGCTTATATACTTTCTCGCGTAGTTACATAGATCCATATCATATAACATATATCCCAAAGTGCATATAATCACATATATCATATAATATAGCTTAGATCATTTCTTAGATATTCATATAAACATACATATCATATCTTGTTCACATATGATATATGCTTCATATAACACATAGAAACACCTAGAACACTTTCTCATAGCTTATATCAATTTTCAGAGTCCTTTCATATTTCCTGATGACATATATCATATAGATATATAATAACTGATATATTATCTACCTTATGCTCCATTTCTTGTATTCCCTTTTTCATATCATCATACATTTTATATCTTATATGTCCTATCAATATCCTATAAACTTATTCATATTCATATATATTTTAATATTTGTATAGTAATACTCTATAATTGTATCATATAATGATTTTACCCAAGTACTCCTTTATAAAGTTATATTACATGTTCAATTATTCTCATGCTATCTTATAAATAATTTCCACTTATTTTATATCATTTTCCTTTTCCACTCAAAACCATCTATTTATTTAGTTCAATTCTCATGACTTCCACAATACTCTTTAATAAAACTTTGTAGCTCTTCACTATAATACATAAACCATAGTTTTCCTTTAATTTATCAATCTTCCTATATAACTTATGTATCCTTATTTATGCCCTCGAATTCATACTATTCTCTTAGAGTCTCCTAACATTTCTCGTATAATCACTTATACCATATCATATAACTTATTCCATGTGCTTCCATTATTACATAATAAAGTCTTACATAAATCATATAGCATATACAAAGCATATCATTATCTTTAGTCATGCATACATACAATCAATGTAATACAGATAATCACATATAATTATAACCACACATAATCATGTCCATGACTTCATGCATATTACTCTAGGAAATAGACTCATCGCAAGTCTTATTTCCATTAAACACTACATATCACTAGTATGCACTCACCTTGGCCTCACTAGTCAATTCCAATCTCTTATCTTTCCCTTAATCGATCTTACTTTCCAAATGTTCCGAAATTGTTTTATGCGCAGAATCTACATAAATGTACATTTTGAGGCAATCATTAGATACCTACACCTTGTAATTGGATACTAGCAACTTAAACGAACTTATTAAACCAATATTCACATTTTTCCTTTAGGGGGTATCGATTCCCTACTGGGGGTATCGATACCCTCATGACATTCTGGAACTCTGTCGTTTGAGAGGGTATCAGTACCCCTTTGAATGGGTACCGATTCCCCCTAACCTAGAAATCATTTTTCAGCACAAAAATTACTTCATTTCCTCTCAAACACTTCATATATCATCCTTTCTTATTCTTAACTTACATATACATGCTTAACTCATTACTACTCATTCAATAATCTTTAACTTCAAAATCTAATTCTCTACATAGAATTCAAGAATCACACTAATTTTTCTTCTTGTTCTAAATTCAATTCCATCACTTCATATCTCTTAATTCAACCATTGACAAGTCAAATTTATCTTCCAATTTGAGTAAAAACTCTATTCCAGAATTTCATTCAAAAACTCTTAATCTTTAATCTCTCCTAATTCCATCATCCTTTGTTTTTAAGATTTAAGCTTTCCTTAAGCTTATTATCATCCAATAATCATAACCAAACCTTTAGTTGAACAAATAATCAACTAATGAAGAAACTTACCTTTGCTTATGACTTCACGGTGGAAAAGAAGAGAATGAAGAAGAGAAGTCTGGAACTCTCTCATATTTCCCACGTTTATAATACTCAAAAAGGAAGATAAAAAAATCTTTCCCATGAAAAGACCATTTTGCCCCTTTAGTTCATCCATCTTTGCTATTTAATTCAATATTAAAATTCTTTACTTAAATCCCAAGACTTTTAAATTTCATTTCTAAATTGAACACAAAACTTTTAAAATTTGCAATTTAGTCACTGACCCTGATTTGGGATGTTACGTGCCTACTTTAACACCAAAAGCTGAGAGTCAATAGATCATCAAGGATGATCAGTAGTTGTCCAAAGAAGGCCGTAACACTGCTACAATAAAGTTTGATACTTTTCAGTTTAGTTCTTATTTTTTTGTATTATCAAATTAGTCCTTTTAGATAATCCATTAATCAAAGTAATTAATATTTTTGATGATTTGACATGATCAAATAACTAGTTATGATTAATATTATTGATACCATATTATTTTGTTCCATATATCTCTATGTTATGATCACCTGAGTCATCTTTACATTATTATCAACAAAGGCTTCTTAACGCTTTGGAATGACTTATGCTAAAGAATGTTTTTGAGCGGGAGCATCTCCATATCATATTTGACAAAAATATCTCAATATTCTCACATTGTTGTAGTCGATGGTGCTCAAATTCGTGATTTCTGGGAACAACAACGATTCTTTTAATCACTTATGTAAGTTGGTATGTGCAGACATATAAATAATTAGAATGTAGAAATACCACTTTGGTAAATTTAATAAAGTACAAGTGATATTTATGTCATTAAGCCATTAGAAAATACTAAAAGAAGATTAAAAATGATTATAAAAGGAAAAGAAGAAAATATTAACTTTTCAATTGGTTCTTTTCTTTTACTTTGTATCGTTATTAATTATTTTATTAACTGCAATTATAACTCGTAATTAATTCACATATTAGAGTGAATTTTTTTTATGGAAATCAATCGATACAAACAATCAATGACGATCAAAGTTAAGGCGTAAAACAGTCATTTGTGTGGAACACAATCAAATATAGGAGCAATTCGTAGCCATACACACAAGGACATGGAACCCAAAGCTGTCACTCCTGCCATGAAAACGAAATGTTATTAAAATGCCTATTTGTGTGTAATGGAAAATTCAAGGATGTTACTCAAATGTGTTTGATTTGGTTCTTGGGGAACAATGTGGTTCCTGTGATGGATGTTCAAACGAATTGGCCAATGGCTTATCTACAAATTAATTTAATAGAAAGGGCCAGGGAGGGTGGCCGGAAACCTGAACCTACCTTAATTCTGAATATCTGTGTTGTTGGTGTGTATATTGGAAATGCGAATGTTGCAGGATTGGGCTCATATATATGCATGTATCTATTTTAGACCTGAAATATTGATGCTATAAACTATTTTTACCAACAATATTCTGGGAGTACTGGTTGCAGTGGTGGGGTTGTCTCACATGATTTTCTATCATTTTACTGAGTTGTTGATGAGGGGATTCGAGCGACATCGTTCCAGTCAAATTATTAACTCCTAGCGTTGTTGATAATCGCTTGGAGACAAGGCCCTGTGTACCATATGAATCACATTCAGGGAGAAAACTCTCAACTGTAGATGATGTGACTTGTTTTTATTCCATGGAAGTTCGAATTCTATCAATAGAGTTTTAACTGATCTTGGCCTAAGCCATTCACGCCTGACTTTGCTGTTTCTCGTGTGAACAGACCTGCCCACCTATTATTGTGCGATATTATGGAAGAGTTAGTCAAATATGAGCAGTAAAATTAATCATGAAAATGAAAAAAAAATATTTTAAATAGTTTAGGGTAATTAGATAATAGTATTTGTTCAGAAATTTTTTATTTAATGATAATGTCACATTATATGAATACGATTATTTGAGATCTTAAAAAAGAACAATATTTTTTTTATTATTGAGATTATTTGATAGGTTCACATCAAACTAATATTAAATATTAATCATTAGGTGTGTAAATATATTTGATTTAATCCTAATTCCTATGTTCAGCCTATTGCACAGTTTTGAGTGAAGGAATGTGGGTTAATTATATGTTTGTTATCTGTACAATGAAGTGGCTGTGGCAATCTTTAATGCTCAACTGGCTTACATTATAGATTAGGTAGCAAGAGCCAAGAGGGGAATATGGGGTTGTAATTTATTAAAAGAGAGAGAACTATTGAATTATAATACAAACATTATTACCTTTTGAAAAGAACACTTATTTACTTAAAATCTAGAACTTGTTAATTTGGAATAAATGGTGCAGCAAAATGTATAATAAAGGCTACAAAATATTACTGGGAATAAACAGCTTGATATCGCTTAATTAATTTCTCAAGTTTAATTGAGTGTACAAAAAAATCTCTACAGAAAGTCTCCTTAGAACCGGAGGGGAAAAACTACAAAATTTACAGTCATTAAACAACAAAAATTAGCCACAACTATGGTATTTTTTGTTTCATCTCCAAGGAGTAGGGCTGGCAATGGATCGGAGATGGGGTGGAGCTTCATCCGCCCCATCACCCGCAGTCCAAATCTCCATCCACACTATCCATCACCCACCAAAAATTTCATCCATATCCGCTCTATCCATCATCCGCAGGTGAGCAGGTGGAGTGGATGAGAAATGGATGATACTATGAACAAAACCTTTTTACATCCTAAGCTCAAATTCTTCTAACATTCATAGAAAAAACATTATACTCAAACATTCATAAAAACCAAAACATGAACAATAAATTTTCATCAAATTCAAACAAAAACAAATGGAACACAGTTTATATAGTCTTGTGCACTATGTTTGTGATACATTTTTCAAGTGAATAGATGCATCATGTATAGCCTTGTATGCCAAATATAATCTTCAAATTTTCATCAACAAACTATCACTTCTCAAAAGTCCTCTCCATCCTAGTATCAATAGGGATAAACCAATATTAAAAAATTAAACATATTTTCAATGGGATAAAAGTCAAATTAAAGAATAAGAATATTTACCGAGTTAGCATCTGCATCAAACACTACACTTGATGAACTTACATGAATGTGTTGAGGAAGTGAAGTACTGAAGCTTGAGAATATCAAGTTTCAAACTTCGTAAAGTGAAGCTAACCAGGGGAGAGAGGCGGCTAAAAGCATTAAGGCAACATAATAAAAAGATAAAAGATTAAAATTAGGGCTTTCATTCTTTCAAACCTAGTCATGTGAAATCATTGTTTATTTTTTAATATATATATATAATATATAAATATATAATATATATATATATATATATATATATATATATGGATAGATGGATATATTAATGGGTGGATGGATGCTGCGGGTGATGGGTCAAAAAAATTTCATCCATATCCGACCTGATCTATCACCCAATTCATTCATCACCCGCCAATCATCCGTTTCACAACGAGTTTTCATCTATTTATTCGGGGCGGATGGATAATCCACTCACCCATGGATAATTGCCAGCCCTACCGAGGAGAAAGAGAGGAAGGGGACCAACTCATGTATAAGTTAAATACGGCAGCTGCATCCTGCTGAGACTGAGACTGAGACTGAGGGCTAATGTTGAAGAGTCCACAGTCACTCGCCCCTTTCTTTTTCCTGCACAGAAAGCGAAGCTTCTCTCTTCCATCGTTAATACTGTTAATCTCTCTCTCTTGCCATTTATTCTTTCCCATTCTTCTCTCATTCTACAATTCTTCCAACCAAAACTTACATCAAAACAAAAAAGGCCAAAGGAAGAAGAAAGAAAACGGATTCACCACGAAATCGGAGCGATTAAGAGAATTTGATATGGATAACTTTGATCTTCAGGACCCATTGACAAGGATAGAAGAACAACAATCCGATACAATTTCAGTTCTCTTCTCTTCAGAATCTGATCACATGCCTTCTCACAACTACTTTCAATGTTTAAAGACCGGTGGCTTCCACGTTTCTTTCCGACGGGAAGCCATTTCTCTCATTTTGAAGGTATCCCATACCGGTTTTTTATTTTAATTCTCTTTTCATCTTTTTTATAAAGAATGTTGTTTACTGTTCTTGTCTTTTATCTTTTTGCATTTTGTTGTAAACTTATTCTAGTTTGTCAGGCGCAGTATTCTTGTAACCTTGATCTCTACACGCAATACCTGGCGATTAACTACATTGATCGGTTCATCTCTTGGCAAGAAATCCCGGTATAGCTTGATATCATCACCTTTATCTTTATAGTTAATAAATTGTCAACCAAACTTTAGATAGATTAATGAAGAGTTTATTGAAAAACACAGAAAAACCTTGAAATACGATGCAGAGTTCTTATTTGATTTTTTATTCTTGGTAAATCAAACACAAGCTTCGTTGATGCATTGTAAGAACAACTTATGCCAACATTAATGCAACTCGTGGTAAACTTTGCACTTTGCAGCAAAGTAATCCATGGGTTTTGAGGCTCCTTGCGATAGCTTGCATTTCTTTGGCTGCAAAGATTAAGGAAATACATTTCTCCTTCTCTGATTTCCAGGTAAACAGTGCGTTAACGTTTCTTCTCCTTAGTTTGTTTATCCTCATGCAAGAAGATTAATAAACAGATGAAACAGAGAGAAGAAAGATTCATATTTGATACCCCAGCTATCCAACGAATGGAGCTTCTGGTTCTCGATGCCTTGAAATGGCGAATGAGATCAATAACACCCTTCTCCTTCATCACTTTCTTCGTATCTTTGTTCGAGCCAAAAGATCCGCCTTTCCCACAAACATTAGAAGACAGAGCAACAAATATAATCTTCCAAGCTCGTAATGGTAACTAAACAGAACTTAGAAATCATTTCAGCTTATGTCTTTTTCATGACAAAACAACTTAAACGTGAGAAAAACTCTATTTTTTGGTTACAGAAATCAATCTGCTAGGGTACAAACCATCGGTGATCGCAGCAACGGCTCTTCTTCTGGCATGTCATGAGCTATTCCCGTTGCAGTTTCCTTTTTTCAAAACCTCAATTTTGTCTTGTGAATATGTAAACAAAGTAAGCAAGCAAACTAGTACGCCAAATTATATTTAGTCTCAAACCATACAAGTTGTTTCATTTCATGTTTAGAAGAATGAATGAATTTGACAATAAGGTTTGACAGGAGATGGTGCTGAAATGCTTTAATGCGATGCAAGAGATGGTGAGTAACGAAGTGAGCGAATCAATGGTAGATGTGGTGTCAAGCTCAAGCACAAGAACCCCAGTAAGTGTATTGGACTGCCACTGCAACAAATCAGAAAGCGAGAGTGCCAACAGCCACCGTTACGACTGAGCGTCGCAAACTGAACGGTTTTTGCAGCCAAAGTAATAAAATGAAGATTTTCAGGCATTGATGACACACTATTACTAAGCCCCTTATTTTCTTGCCCTTTTCTTTGACTAATAAAAATTTTGAAAAAAAATAAAAGAAATAAAAAAAGAAGTTGAGAGAAATTAGACAATTTAATCCATTTTGTTTGATGGGTTTATCATTTGTTTAATTAATTAATTAATTTACATTTAACCGGGTGACATGCCAGCTGTTGGAGAAGGGACATGAAGGACGAACAAAACAAGGCTTTAAAACGCTAAAATAGTACAAATCGTTTTTGTGTTAATGTCGTGTTGTTTCGTAGCAGATAGGAAATAAAGAAATGCCTCCTTCAATTAGATATTTTCTTAAAATAAAAAAAAGGTTTTCTTGAAAAAGCATAAATTGAGTTTTCATTTCTCTGGTTCAAAAAAAAAAAAAGCGAAGGTAATGAAGATTGGCGGGAAAGAAGCAAAGGCAAACACAACGTTCAAGACACGTTGCTGTCCTAAAAGATTGTGGTATCTTTGTCGAGAAACTACACAATTTATGTGCTTGAAAGCAAGCAGGGCGCAGGTGGGGGGAAGAAAATAACTCTCTTATCTTCGTGGGTTGCTGAGACGGGGCAAGACGTACATGGTTGTTGAAATTTTTTGTTTTGTTTTAAAGCACAGGCACCAGTAGGCTTAAACTTGTTTGTCAATTGGGGAAGATGTTCGTGTAAGAATTGAATTACCAGCAACACTGCAAGTTTTGCTATTAATTGTTAGATTTGGATCATTGGGCAAAGGTTGATTCCTGAAATGAAGCTTTGGGGCCACATTCTGGATGTAAAAGATATGAAATTTCGATTTCTAGAAGAAAAAGGGGAAAAACCATCTTAGGGACCACTGGGCCATTTTAGACGGTCCAAGTATAAAAGCCCAAATTTCATTTACGGTATAAAGGACGCTCTGGATTGGGATAGGAAAAGATAGCTATTGATGCTAGATTTCGAATACTAAATCTATAGATTACCAGTTAATTGTCATAATATCCAACTCTTCATCCTTACATATAGGAGATGAGAGTTATTGATGCTAGATTTCGAATACTGAAGGACGCTCAGGAAAGGTACACAGTTTGGTATGGGATTGTGCATCAAACGGTTATTCGAGGCAACGTGGATGCCATCACTGACCATCTGTAAATTTATCAAATGTTCTTTTTTCTGGGACTCGAGATCCAAGAACAGCTAAATTCCATTACAAGAAGATGGTCAAATCCTTTCACGATCGTACAATATCTCAAGTTGCCAGATATCATCAAACAAACTGAACTAATTAGAAATAAGAATTACTACTGATAAAAAAAGCTGCATTTCAACTTCCTTCCCCCCATAACCAGCAGGATTTGCAGCAACCATATGCAATTCATTTTACCATTTACATCTTCAATTTTTTACAGCTTTATATCACTTAAATACATCAGTACATGTCCTTTCTTTACCTCAATCTTTCATGACACATTATGTTACTTTACCTAAGTCATGTTTCATGACACATTATAGTACTTCCTTTACCTTTTTCATGTTTCAGGACACGTGATTGTTTATTGGAAATTATATTATAGTTATTTCTTTCAGTCTCATTATATCTCTTCAAAAATGGATTGCATTGCCTCAAGATCCATCTGAGAAAACTAAAAATAATAACCTACTGTAAGATTGGATGTCCTAAAAACTCCCCCAAACTGCTAAAACTTCTATGCACACGGAAGCACCTTTACGCTTCTCAAATAAAATAGGTCATCGTTGTTGCATGATTCGATGATCCAAGCTAAAATAGTTCTGCCGTCTATTCTGGTTGTTTAACAACCCGGACCATCAAAGAATTAATTGTCAGGGAAGTTCGTAATTCACTGTTGTAGCCAATATTGACCTATATCTTCCAAGTAAAGCATCTCATGTTCAAGCATTATCATTTCCATTTAAACTATTTTGAGGCTCAGATGCCTTAATTGATATAGGAGGAGGAGGGTGTAGCTCAAAGAGAGGTTTACTGCCCTCAGCATTGTTTCCTATGCAGATATCCCCACGACCGTGCCATGTACCATCTTGGACATTGTTCATCTCCAATGTTCTAGATTCCTGAAGAAGAAGAAAAAAAGCTATTTATCAATCCTCACGAAAGTGGAGGATTTTAAGAACTTACATTTGAACCACATTTGATTTTGTCACTGGTTGAATGAGTCTTGTTGCATATATGGATTACAGAGTCGATAAATTAGAAAAATAGTTGGGCAAGGATAAGAACCTGGGATAGTGTACAGCAAGGGCAGATAAGATGGTAGAAGCAATCATCCAATAAGCTCTCATCTCCCTGCAAAAAAACATAATTCCCAACCGAATCAAGAGTGATGGATGCTGGTAAAATTAAAGAGTACGTAACTATACGAAGTCTAGGAGCAACATCAACATAGACGAAAGATCAGCAAGTCACAGTGGTCAAACATGTAGTTGAAATTAAAGATGGCTAGTCTTATCCAGACACCATCACATAAATTGGCTACATGAGCTGACGTTTAACAGAACCATACAAAATTATCAAGTTTTAAATTCCTATATGCAAAAGAAGGGAAGTTTAATGCACCGAAAATGCCGTAATCACAGGAATAAAGAAAATTGACTAGGCATGCCTTCGGTTTTTATGAAAGGAATGTGGTGGCCCAAGGAATTTCAAGGTTTCCATTTCGGAACTCAGTCTGAGGATTCATTGTTAAACATAAATGATCTATTTGTGTTTTGGTAGTCGACATCAAAGCAACATTGACCATGAAACTTTGATGTCAGTCCACGAGAACAATAACATCCTGGTCAACAAATTCAATTAGGAATATGATAATTACCAAGCAGAAAGAAGTAGGATATGATCACTTATTATTAGAACCCTAGACTTGGAAAAAGTGAAGGCACATTCAAAAAATAAAAAGTTCTCACCCTAATATTGAACTTTCTTTTTATCTGTGTACGGAAGAAACCCAGATATGCTCCAACAGACACGGTGAAAGTAACACCCAAATAAAAAGCAATTCCGCTCGGTGACGATAAAGGCAACAAAGTTGAGAAAAGCAGTAGCTGCAAGGATGAAATAAATGGTTCCCTGCAAAAGCAAATTAAGAACATTCAGAAAATGTTAAAATACAACATCGATGGCAATTAAATCTGAAGTACAGGAACTATAGTACATATAATCCCCAAACTTACATATCATAATACGACCATGGAAACACATATCTGGGAATTGCCCATTTCCAGGAATGGGGTTTAAGTTATAAGAATGTAGAAATATGAAAGTTTTTACCTGAAGGAAACAAAATCCAAACCCTGCCCGTCGCATGTTCTTCCCAAATCTGTAGCAGGGGCAGCTGCAACATCAAAACAAATTATTGCACAAAAATAAATATTAGCACTCGTATTATTAGTTTCATAACATCAAAACAAGAGCTACAGAACATAAACATATTCGTTTTTAAACTGATCAAAATGATTAAATGTTTTTTTCTTTTGCCTCTAAAACTATTTTGCAGAAGAAGAGAACACCCAAGCTGCAAACTTACATACAAAAAAAATGGACCGGTAAAAGGAGCGGGTTCGTCTTGAATTAGTTTCATTCTTAACACCAACATTAAAAAAATGTAAAAATTATTTCTTTTTGACGTATTTTGACAGCATCCGAAATGTCGGGATCAAAGACGAAACGAATTAATAGAGCAAACAATTTTAGTACTAGGCTATCTACGATTTTTTTTAAAAAAAAATTACCTCTCTCTCAAAATCCAGATAGAGATAAAGAGAACTAACCAGGCAGATTCGAGTGCTAGACGGCGGTCATCCAAGAAATCAAGAACAACTTCACCTTCCCACATCCTGAAAACGCCACCGAAATCTCCGCTTCCTTGTTCTAAAGGATCCTCGGCTCTTTCAAGTTTCCTCCATTTGCCCTGGGTTTGCAAAGCCACCGTCGAACATAGCATGTCGAAATCCAACACCGCCATTCCTTCCAACAGCATCTCTTCTTCTTCTTCTTCCTTTTTGCCCCCATTTACAACAACTTTCTCTTGCTTCTCTACTTCCGCCATTGCGAAATTTGACACCTTAAAGCCTTAACCCCTCTTTTTTCCCCTTCTTTTCTCTTTCTGTGAAGGGGAAAAAAGATGTGCGTTTTTTAAATTGCGTATCGTTTTTCTTTTGGTTTTGTTTCCTCGACAATTAATTATATATTTTGGGTTGGCGCGTATGATTAATCGAGCGTGGGACCCCAAAGGAAGCGCATAGTTGACGATAATGCCATTGCCACGTAGGGTCGTCTGGATTGTAGGGATTAAGATTGTAATCTGGTAATAATTGCCTCTATTAACGATTCTGATTTGGATAACGCCACCTAGTTTTCCTACCAAGATTAACCACCAATTTCCTTTATAATTTGTTTTCACCTCTTATTCTAACTTTACTTCCATTGTAAAACTATAATTTGTAACTTCTTTTCAATTGAATTTGTAATTTTAATAAATATTTATTTTGTTAATTTATTTATTTTATAAGACTTAGTATTTTATGTTTGTGTATCTTTGAATTAAGAGTTTTCACATGTATCAAGGATGGAAAAAATCTAAAATTATCTTATATTTTAGATTTTTTTATGTATTTTCTATTGAAAATATATTTTACCCCTTAAAATTTCATTCCCCTTAAAATTTTATAAGTTCAAATTCGCTCCCTCTAACATAAAACCATCCCTATATATATATGATGTATTATATGGGATGGACACGATCAATCATGTTTGAATTATATATATATATATATATATATATATATATATTAACCATTCATTAATAAATATCATACCATATCTTTAAAAAAATCTTAATTAATATCATACTCTCTTTGATAGTAGATTTATTTTTTTCGTGATATTTTTTCTTAATTAATTTAAGTTTTTGAGTTAATTAATTAA